GACCAATATTCAAAAGATAAAGTTTTAACATATTTGACCTCACTGACCTTGAATATGGGCGAAGGTCATTCATTTGAACAACTTGTTAGCCCTTCATCCCAGCATGCTACTGGCAAATAACATCACCCTAGGGCTCTTGGTTATTCAGGAGAAGATGTTAAAAGTAAAACAGCACACCTTCTTCTCTGGAACTAAGAGATGGATATCAACCATATTTGACTGGAAGCATCCCTAGGTGGTGGAGATTAAAAATTGTACAAATGGTTGGGCTAACCCGACAGGGGGCTGAGGGACGGGCCAAAAAGGGGCAATTTGGCTAAATTGCTACAAACGACTTCTTCTGTAGAACTATGCACTGGATATCAATCATATTAATTCAATAGCATTCATGGGAGGCAGGGATTTAAGATTGCACAAATGGTGTGGCTGAACCCCCGGGGGACTAAGGGGCGGGGCTAAAAAGGGTTATTTGGCTATATTGCTTTAAGCGACTTCTTCTCTGGAACTAAGAGATGGATATCAACCATATTTGACTGGAAGCATCCCTAGGTGGTGGGGATTCAAAATTGTACAAATGTTGGGGCTGAGGGCGGGGCCAAAAGGGGGCAATTTGGCTATATTGCTATAAACGACTTCTGTAGAACTAATGCCATGGATATCGATCATATTTGGTCAGGAGCATTCATGGGAGGCAGGGATTCAAAATTGTACAAATGGTGGGGCTGACAACCTGGGCTAAGGGGTGGGGCCAAAAAAAGTTAATTACTTGGAAATGGTTGAGATCCCCACCATATAAAGAGAAGAATGTACATTTGCTTCCAGGATGGCTATAGGGTCTAGTCCCACCCTTGGGGACATAACCCCTGGGCCATAACTTTAAAACGGTTGAGATCCCAACCCCAAAACTATTTATACAAATGCTGGGCATAAAGAGACGAATGCAGTCATGATATTAGAATAGACCCTGGGGTCTGAGCGACCCCTAGGGACCTAGTTTCTTAGTCACAGCTTGGAAACAGTTGAGAGCCCCAACCTATAACGATATATACAATTGCTGAGTATAATGAGATGAATGCACATATGCTTCCAGGATGGCCTTGGGGACTGACCCACCCTTTGAGACTTAACCCCTGGGTCATAACTTTAAAATAGTTAAGATCCCCACCCCAAAACTATATATACAATTGTTGGGCATAAAGAGATGAATGCAGTCATGATATTAGAATTGATACAGGGGTCTGGCCACAACACTAGGGACCTAGTTTCTTAGTCACAGCTTGATAAGAGTTGAGATCCCCACCTCATAACAATACATAAAATTGCTGGGCATGAAAAATCTAATACAGATATGCTACAAGGATTGGCCTTGGGGTCTGGCAAATTCCCTTGGATCTCATTTGGAGAATATTTTGCCATGATTGCTTAGATATCTAGGTGAGCGATACAGGCCCTCTGACCATCTTGTTAGTAGACGTCAGCTTATCCCATTTGGTCACCAAAGCCAGCTAGAAAACTCACAAAAAACAACAATTTTAATTTCAGTAATAATTACCATTACTTTAGTATGCACATTCAATACCTACACCTATCTTTGTAGCCGAATAAACAAAGGTTTAACGACATCCTGCCTTCCCTACCCGCAGGTGACCCATATCTCGACGATACAGACACAGAGTGATCTCCCTTTCTCAAAAACCTTTTATGGACTCGCAAAAAAAACACCATTTAGCTTGGAATAATGCCCTTTTATTATTATAAATAAAACAGCAATTCTATACAGGTAATATATGAATACACATAAACAGACACTCTACAGAGGTTATACAATATATGACTGAAAACATACAGCTTGTATAGATCCTTGATAGTCAGGTCTGAAATAAAGGTTTGATAAACCTCATTAAAACGAAATTTTGCAAAATTATTATCCCATTATCGGAAACCTAAATTGTCAAAGGTTTAAAAACACCACAATATAGAAGACAAATGATATCATGCATTTGCTGATTCTTATTATTTTTAACAGTTATTCAATAAAATAACACTGATTATCATGGGTCTAAGAATAAGCAGATCTTCCATATTAAAACCTTTCTCCGATGACTTGCTATGACACTAACAAATGACAGACTGAAAATCAGATGGGAATTTCGAATGAAAAATTTAAACTAGTTTGATGCTCTGTTCTATAGCGTAAGGGAGATCATCCTTATTTTAAATTTCTATTAAAAGCAAAGGGGAGACTGTTCTGTCTGACCAGCTTGAACAATAAATCTCAAAAAAAACAAAAAGATGCACTCAGTGAAAATGTAAGCTTGTTTTAATCTATATTTAAATGCCTGAGGCTTTGCATTGGGTATAAAGTCATAAATCAAAGCAAATAGATTTTTAAAAAGTATGATACACCTATAGAATAGTAAGCATATCATATATGTATTTCCAGTCTTGAAAGGAGAGGTCAGAAATGAAAATTGTACAAACAAACACATTAGATTTAGGGCGACAGGAAGGGGAAAAAAGGAATTTATCTGAACGAATACTGAACATTCACACGTATGTTGCAGTTATGGAGGAGAGGTGGACCTAAAGAGTCTGGAGGTATATATATACACATGTTAGGTTTAGGATCAGTAGGTAGGGGAAAACAGGCATTTATTACCATGAATACAGTACATGCACATATTATGTTAAGTACTGTATAAATGAATATTTGGCTTAGGATAAGAGGTAGGGAAGATAGAGGTATTTATTAGAATAAATACAGTATATACACATGTGAGGTTTAGAGGGGAGATAGGGGAGGGACAAGACATGAATTAGAATATATGTATACAGCACATACACATTAGGTTAAGCAGGAGACTAGGGTAGAGAGGGAGACATTTATTAGAACAAATATAGTATATACACATGTGAGGTTTAAGAGGGGAGATAGGGGAGGGACAAGACATGAATTAGAATATATGTATACAGCACATACACATTAGGTTTCCTTGGAGACTAGGGTAAAGAGGGAGGCATTTTTTAGAATAAATACAGTATATACATGTGTGCATGAGTCTCGACATGTCAACAGATAACAAAAGAAATGATCATGAGGCAGCAGCACCATTTGTTTACAAAGATACAGAATGAGACAGTTACAAGCACAGAAGACTACATTAACATATTTTGTTCTAAAAATAATTGTTCAGACATGTTTACCTAGATACACTGAAATGAGTACAGAAAGCGTGTATATGTTGACTGAACTGCATGCAATCTTCTCTTCTTTGGGTTTGTTAGTTTTGGAACCCTATTGCTACTCTATTAGAAGTTATTATTTATGCCAGTGACTTTAGAAATAATGGGAAATACCTCCTGTGCATCTGAATTGGAATGTTAACTATCATCCAATCATTTGTTTTTCTAAATACCATTTAGAAGATTAAATTTAAATTTTATACATGATCAACAGTAGAAAATATAGATATACATGTTACTTTCATTTGGAACTTTTGAACAAACACATTTCTCTCACTGAGAATTAGAAAAATCAGAATACTGAAAAATACTTCAATTTTGTATAGAAAGAAAAATGTATTAACTTAAATGATATCTCTATATCAATCTTCCATGGTGACGGGATTTGGTACAAAAATATCTGTCTATAACGGCCACTTCTCTACCACAAACACCTATAAAGATCACCTATATAAAGGTATAACAAATACCAAAAAAAATCTGTCTATGAAACATTGCAACACTTCTGTATAACAAACACCTTTAAGGAATACTTCAGTATAATAAATACCTATTTATAAAAGCCAACAGTATAAAAACCTGTCTATATAGGAAACATAACTAGCACCTGTTTATTAAGATTACCTCCATGAACATTTGAGAAAAAAAACACTTTATGATGTAAATTAAATGATAATAATTATAATTCCAAGTTCTTATATACTGCTTTATCACAACCTAGTTCGTAGGTTGTTTCAAAGGGGTTCACAAATTATTATCCCTGGTGATAGGGCCTTTGCAACCAGCCAATTTCTTTCTCAACTCCCTAGGGAGCATGCATACAGCCGGCGCTGCCATTAGACTACCGTGCCTCCATATTTATGTTTAAAAGTCCTTTAAAAGTGGGTTCTTTATATACCGGTCATATATAACCTATGTATAACACACTAGAATGATTAAGTACGGATACTCTTTATAATATGGCAAAAAAACAATTTGTTTATAATAACTGTTTGAAATCAGCAATTGTATTCCTCTACAATGTTCAATGTATAACTTGCGATGATATATAGAATTAAACTCTTCACTTGGAGTTATATCAATAAGATGGCCAAAACACGGCACAAACAATTATCTAATTCAACACACAGTACAAACATTAACTTAATTCAACATATGGCAAAAACTATCACGTAACTCATATATGGCAAAAACAATCATGTAACTCATATATGGCAAAAACAATCATGTAACTCATATATGGCACAAACAATCATGTAACTCATATATGGCAAATACAATCATGTAACTCATATATGGCACAAACAATCATGTAACTCATATATGGCACAAACAATCATGTAATTCAACACATTTGTATAATCATGTGATTCAACAAATAGTACAAACAATTTTGTATGTTATACAACACATGGTACAAATAATTACGTAATCAAACACATGGTACAAACACACAATTCAACAAATAATACAAACACACAATGCAACACATAATACAAACCCACAATTCAACACATATTACAAACACACAATTTAACACATGGTACAAACAAACAATTCAACACATATTACAAACACACAATTTAACACATGGTACAAATAATTACGTAATCAAACACATGGTACAAACAAACAATTCAACACATATTACAAACACACAATTTAACACATGGTACAAACCCACAATTCAACACATGATACAAACACACAATTTAACACATGGTACAAACACACAATTCAACACATGGTACAAACACAATTCAACACATGGTACAAATACACAATTCAACACATGATACAAACACACAATTCAACACATGATACAAAAATGATGTACGTAATTCAACACTAGGTACAAACAATTACATAATAAACAAATAACCTAATTATAATTTTAAAAAACCTGAAACAATCACAGTAATTAAGGTGTTGATAGCCATTCATATAAAATCTGTGAGGTACACATTATCCCTGCTTATTTTCCTGACTATATCTTTGATACGAGGTAAGTTTCTAAATACAATATTACCATATATAGGATTTACACTACCACTTATAAAATTGATGATTTTATGATTTTTATCTTGTTGACATTCACACACCTTCACAAACATTATATATCACAACAAGGCTAAAAGAGGTCATTTCAATGCCGCCAATGTAATTTTTTACTGAGCAGGTGGGTACAAATTTCTGTGTCAATTTCCTCAAGCATTAAATTGTCTACTCATAACATTATACCTATGCAAAACACATCCCGTAACAATATCTACATTAATGGTATTTCTATTTGATGACAGATGTTAAATTCTGATTTGAACTGAATTTAAAAACATGATTTCTTTTTTTGTAATCAATCATATACCCCTTGTTAAGCAATGTTGTATACTGTACATATAATTACAGAGATTCTGTTTTTCAGCTCACCTGAACACCTGAACACCTGAACCAAAGGCTCAAATACACTTTATTGACGTCATAGTTTGTCTGTCATCTATTCATCTGCTCACTTTTTTACATTTTTAACTTTCCAGAAAATTGATATAATCTGATTGCCACAGATTAGAGAAGGTAAACAGGTTTCCGATTTGTTCATTAGCTCTCAATCCTAACTTTGAATGAGTTTGTTTATCTGGGACAAACGTCAAGGTCATTTATTACCTATAGAAGTTTGTCATATAGTGATGCTTATTTTGCTTGGAAGCAAGGGCATTCATGTCTTACAGAAATTTTCCAGCTTGAAATGAAAACATCCTTTTATACATCGGTCCTGAAATATCATAAATCCATTCTGAAGTACAGCATATAGGCTATAATCATTAACATAAAACCTCGGACTTATCTCACCTCAATTTGTCTATGCCCTCACCATTTCATCGGTGGGGATTCATGTCTATAAATATCAGAAATGTTCAAGTTTCTGGTAGGCACCATTATTTTATAATTACACACCACCTGAGCGTTCAACAATAAAAACATTCTATTGTAACTACAAAATGTATTATCATCCTAATTACAGTTCCTAACATTTTTTTACAGTTTTATTAATGCAGAACTCTTTTGGGTTGGAGATAAATATCACAGTATGCATAACTCGTCCTTTTTATCTGATAACAAAAATATCCAGATTTTTTATTTGATTATGTTACAGCAAGAATAGTCATGCAACTTGAAACTGGCTCCTTTAATATTTTTACCTAGATTTGGATGAACACAATATTAATGTGACTTTATATTGTTACCATAATTTTGTAGACATTTGGAATGACAGATCTACAGGATATACAGCTGCTCTACAATGACTTTAGGCCTTGACCCTGGTAACATGGTCCTCCCTGGTTACATGGTCGTCCTTTATAAGGACTAGGCAGTTTGGCTGATCCTCTCCTCCTCCAGAGCACCAGGAGCGAAGCCGAGGGGCAGGAGTTCTCCAGTCTTCATCAGCTTGTAGGTGTGGTCTGGCTTTGTCATGTACACATCCCAGTTACTACCAAACTAGGAATATAAAGTACAGTGGAACCCACTTATTATGATATCCTATTTGCCAGAGAAAAATATCATAATAACCGATATATCATAATAACCGATCAAGCTGTTTTCGATCGTTTTTATGCTGTCTGAACCGAAGGTGAGATGCCCTATATCAATCAGACATAGATTGATGTGGAAACATTGGGAAAATATAAATACAAAAAGGTAAATTAATAATCGAAATAATTTGTTCATTGTTATTTATATCAATCAGCGTGTTGGAAAAATTCGAGAAGTTTTCGTTTTGCCGTCGTAATGATCAGTATGTAAATTCTACTTTTACTTTCAGATAACTTTGAGCATATTCCCAAGAACTATCTTTATACTACATCCTACACTTGTACCTAACGATATCGTAATATTACAGTCACTAGGATGAAAGAAGGGATATAAATAGTCATGATTTACCTATTTTGCAACGAGAAGTTGTGTAACATTTTGTCCTGTAAGCGTAAAAATATTTTGCCGCGCTATGTCAATTACGATCATGTGACAATAACATGCCTTATCATAAAAAGCGGGGTCCTACCTTTGACCATATCATAATAAACGATGTTTGTTTGCTTAGTTAAAGAAGGAAAAAAATCGTTACATGGGAAATATATCATAATAACCGATATATCATAATAACCGATATCATAATAAGTGGGTTCCACTGTACTGCATCATTTTTGCAACATTCATTCGTATAACAATATATAAGTGTAAAAATCACAGGTAATAATGGACATTTTGTATCTGTCATTTTTTCACTTATATATTGTTATACGAATGAATGTTGCAAAAATGATATAGCATTACATGGCCAAAAAATGGTATTAATCTTACACTTCAAAACCTGGTATTAATCTCAAACTTGTAAACTTAAAAGTGGACTAAAATACAGCTACAGGCAGAATATCAGTGTGCATCATTTTTGCAACATTCATTCGTATAACAATATATAAGTGAAAAAATCACAGATACAAAATGTCCATTATTACCTTAATTTGCGATATATTAAATATATAAACTTTATTTATTTTACAAAAATTATGAAACATATTTTATGGAACTTATATATTTTAATCACTCTTTATTGGCCCAGACGCAAGCCTGCAGATGGCGTTCAACTCAAGGCAAAAACGAAGACAACCTTATTATCTGATCGGTAAAGTGTTAAAATAACTCTTGCAAGGTGAAAGCATTTCTGTTGACATTCATTTCAATATGAAAATGGTGCATACCGGAATGAAAGAAATTCTTTCATATGACAAACTATTGTGACTCAGAGAGCTGATTTTTCGGTTCATATTCATACGCTTTGGCCATGTAATGCTATATCATAGCGTCCAGTAACAAATAAAATAAATCTAAAACATTAATACAATGGGAGAGAAAATATAATTAACAAGAGGCCCAATGGGCCTGCATCGCTTACCTGGTATTAATCTCGCACTTGTAAACTTAAAAGTGGACTAAAATACAGCTACAGGCAGAATATCAGTGTGACCTTGAATGTCAAACAATGACATTAGGTTGAAAGTGGGTCAAGGTCATTCATTTGAACAAATTTGGTAGCCCTGATTGCTACAGGTCAAATATCAGTACCCTGGGCCTTTTGGTTATTGAGAAGAAGTTGTTTGAAGATTTTAAGACATTTGACACCTGTGACCTTGAAAGTTGGTCAAGGTCATTCATTTGAACAAACTTG